CTATGGCTCTTTCCGGTCGCGATGTCGTTGGTATTGCCGAGACAGGCTCCGGAAAGACACTTACGTACTGCCTTCCCGCCATTGTCCACATTAACGCCCAGCCTTTGCTCGCACCTGGTGATGGCCCCATTGTTCTCGTGCTGGCCCCTACGAGAGAGTTGGCCGTTCAAATTCAGCAGGAGATCACCAAATTCGGCAAATCGTCCCGCATCCGCAACACATGTGTTTATGGAGGTGTCCCTCGTGGTCCCCAGATCCGAGACCTGTCTAAGGGAGTCGAGGTCTGCATCGCCACACCCGGACGTTTGATTGATATGCTCGAAGGTGGCAAAACTAACCTTCGCCGAGTCACGTATCTGGTTCTTGACGAAGCGGATCGTATGCTTGATATGGGTTTTGAGCCACAGATTCGAAAGATTATTAGCCAAATTCGACCCGATCGTCAGACACTCATGTGGTCTGCTACCTGGCCCAAGGAGGTTAGAGCTCTGGCCTCCGAGTTCCAGACAGACTTCATTCAAGTCAACATTGGTTCCATGGATCTTTCTGCAAACCATCGCATTACACAAGTTGTCGAAGTAGTTTCTGAGGGCGAGAAGCGTGATCGCATGATCAAGCACCTCGAGAAGATTATGGATAACAAGGAGAACAAGTGCCTTCTTTTCGTTGGCACGAAACGTGTAGCGGACGAGATTACAAGATTCCTCCGCCAGGATGGCTGGCCTGCGCTTTGTACGTTTCAGCTCTGCGATATGGATTATCCGTCACTAACATGTTTCTAGCGATCCACGGCGACAAGCAACAGAACGAGCGTGACTGGGTTCTTGACCAGTTCAAGACAAATAAGAGTCCCATCATGGTTGCCACCGACGTGGCTTCTCGTGGTATCGGTATGATTAAAACTCCCCAAACCCCAACCCCTCCCCACAACTTCCAGCAGAGTTATATCCGATGTGCTTGACTGTGATGTCTAGGGGCTTTCTTGATTGCGCACATATATCTGGCCTAATCGTGTCTCGTGGTTCTCCCCCCCCGGATGACCGGGATCTATAGTATGGCCCAAGGGCCGTGTCGATGTTTCGCCTCGTACCTTGATTTTCTGTGGTACAAGCGGGCGAGGTTGAGCATTTCTTGATTTTGTCAAGCTATCGCTAAGATTCCCAAATTCTGAGGACCCGGACCAGACTATTGGGATCAATTCCAGATTGGCAGTGTTGATGCAACAGACAGCCCCGCAGCTTCATTCTCGATGGAGAGAGCACGGATCAATATGCTTATGGCACCCATATCCGCCGCTGGGACTTGCTTCATAGCAACTCGTTTTCTAGAGCTAACCTGTTGTGATAAAGATGTTCGTAACATCACTCATGTGATAAACTATGACTACCCGAACAACTCGGAAGACTACATTCATCGTATTGGTCGTACCGGTCGTGCTGGTGCCAAGGGTACCGCCATCACATTCTTTACTACTGACAGTATGCCTCATCACCCTAGTCACATTATGAAACTAAACTAACTCTTATCATTAGACTCGAAGCAGGCTCGTGATCTCGTCGGAGTTCTTCAGGAGGCTAAGCAACAAGTTGATCCAAGATTAGCCGAAATGGCACGATACGGCGGTGGAGGTGGCGGCGGTCGTTACGGCGGCCGTGGCTACGGTCGTGGTGGCGGTGGCGGTGGCCATCGTGGTATGTTTCATTATCTTCGTTCCTATCATGATGAAATAGACTAACAGAGCCATTAGGCGGCGGCGGTGGTGGTGGTGCTAGTGGCGGCGGCGCTAATTCCATGCCTCTTGGTAACCGACGCTGGTAACTGAATTTTGCAACAGGCACCTGCATCATCCTAACAATTCGATATCGTAACGCTTGCGGGATTATGCTGTTGTTTTCTCATTTCACAAAAGCACAAATGGCGTTATCTAGAAGGTCGGGCTGATTAGACATTGTAATATCGGCCTCTGGGTCGTGCATTTCTTACTGACTGCACGTGTCATTCTTCCCTTGATTTCATTTGGAGGGGTGGAGGAGTCTCAAGGTCAAAAAAAGGCACAAGGCTACTTCGACTTAAGACGAGGCATGGCATTTGCAAGGTGTATTCTGAGAGATTCACTGGGCAGCCCAGTCTGTTTAAGACGCAGGACCCTTGTTGTTGAACTTGCTGACCCGTTTTCTAGTCTAGATTGGAACTACTAAGCCACATCATGTTGACTTCAGATAGTCTCATACTCAGGTAGATTGACCAGTCCAAGTTGCGCTCGTTTTGAGGCAAACCGGACCGTCTAGATAGGTAGCATGAAACATATCTTCAGATTAGTAGTCGTATAACGCGTTCTATCAGTTTTTGTGACATGTATTCCCCAAAATGCCAATGGTCCACTCACGAGATGACCAACGTCATTGTCATTGCCATGGCGCCTTAGGCATTTATTTTGCTGCTTCATACTTTCCCGGGCCTCGCAGCCTGGGATCCGTAAGAAGCTTTAACAGGGCACCTCGTGAATGGATACACAATATATACGGCCCACCTCCATTTAACCGGTTCTCGCAAGTTACCTTCCGCTCGGATTGTCTTTCTATCTTGGCTCTATGCCACTATGGTGTCTTTCGTTTGTCGAAACGGCTGGTTTATTGCGTGTTGTTATTTGTCTCCTACACCCGAGGCTTATTATGCCGTTGTCGGTATGACTGCAGGTATATTCTAGGCCAGGAAGCCCTTTCCATTGCATCTTCCTTAGGTAGCCAACATCTTGAAAAGGGCACGTCGTCCGCACAAACGACCTGGTAGCTTTGGGGCTCGTTCTATCGTTCGTTAGTATTATCATCAGCCATGAAAGCCACGGCAGCACTTGCGTTCTTTATTGGAGCAATCCAGGCCGCTCCTCATTGTACGTACGCCCATCTGAATTTATCTTTGCACTGGTAGTTTTGATCTGTCGTATTTTCATACTATATTCTCATCCTTAGCCGTGGTTGGATATATCTCGGGGCTTTATGGTGTTGTTCATTAATAAGGCTATCGTATATACGTGCTACTCGCTAACAAGACGTTCAGATACGTTCCCCAAGCTCGCCGGGACATCGGACTGGTCGTCTGTGCGCCAGGTGAGTACTCCGGACTGGTTTCATACGTTATCTACTCAATATGTCTCTCGAGGAGCAAGAGTTGCCCTTACACCATCGACGGAGATTACTGACCCCCCGCCCCCGTCAACAGACAGCCAACTTCCAGAGCAATGGGCCAGTGACGGACGTGACAAGCGACGCCATCCGCTGCTACGAGCGGGTACCGGGAGGCGCACCTGATGTCACGAAGGTCAACGCGGGTGGCCAAATCACCTGGGCAGTAGCACCAAACATCTACCACCCGGGAGCACTGTCCGCGTATATGGCCAAGGTCCCGAGCGGTCAGACGGCCGCCACGTGGGATGGGAAGGGGGCTGTATGGTTCAAGGTCTTCCAGGATATGCCGTCTGCTAGCGGCGGACAGTACACCTGGCCTTCCAATGGTGAGCTATTATGTCTTTCTTCTTTGGTTTGAGTTTCTCAGATTTATGTTTGGAAAAGGTGGAGGGACAAGCGGAGGGGGAGTAGCATGATGGCAATAAAATTCGTGGAGTTCCGCGGCGAGGGCGGAGGGAAAGATGTCGTCAAGTGGTTATGGATGTTTACTGCTTTCTGGTACTGATATGAATCTTCACCTCAGAAAAGTCCCAGGTTGGCTTTACTATCCCGCAGTGTATCGCCGACGGCGACTACCTGTTCCGTATTGAGCACGTCGCCCTCCACAGGTAAGTTTAATACATCTACGCCGTGTCACTCCTGCCCTATCTCATCTATTCCCTTACTCCGGCACGATTTAACTGCTACGAACAAAAAGGAGTTCTCATTTCTTTCGTATCCTTGGACCCGCCGTGTTCCCATGATCCTTTATAGATATAGCTAACATACGTACCACAAATGTAGCGCAAGTTCAGCAAACGGCGCCCAGTTCTATATCTCGTGTGCCCAGATCACCGTCTCGGGCGGTTCAGGCTCCAAGACGCCGTCTGGCCTCGTCTCCTTTCCCGGCGCGTACAAGAGCACCGACCCCGGTCTCCTCATCAATATCTACAACAACGGCGGCAAGACCTATCAGCCTGCTGGCCCTGCTGTCTTCGCTTGTTGAGGGGGTGGTCTAATTTGAGGTGAATCCCTTGCGAGGGTGAAAGAGGCAGGTTCAAGTCGTTGAGAAGTTTGGTATATTCGGTCTTTGAATCCTTCAAGTACAGCTCGGCGGTATCTAGTTTGCTCTCTGTATCTATGCACTGTATTGTCACTGTTACAGTACGTATATAATAGCTGCAGACGGTCAAGTGCCTGACTTGACAACGTTCTTTATTTTTTGATAGTGTACTGGTATAGTGCTGCAGTTCTGTTCCGTGACAGTCACGGTCCTTAACCGTGGGTATAAAAGTAACTGCAGACGTCAAGGCACCCACCTTGACAACGTTCTACTTTTATTAGTGTCGTGGTTAACAGCGTTGCAGTTCTGTTCTGTGGTATGTATCTCGTGAGACTGGTACCTATAGCATCAATATTGTCATTGTGCTTGTAAATTTTAATTACTACTCGAAGTTGTCAGGATCTCGTAGGAGGGTTAAGCATATTAGTAGATAAGGACTGCTGTTGCTGCGTGGAGTCCGAATCGCCTTTATAGACTGGCCCTCGGCTATATATACGTATGTCTTTTGTCATGGAAGTAATATCGTAGCAGGAGTCAACGTACTGGTCACACGGCCCCTGACTGAAAGGTTTGGTGAGATGACATCATTTTCGTCGCTTAGTTACTGGTGATCTAAATATGATTGTTACGTGAGGTAGATAGCAATTAGATTCTATCATCAGCCTATATACAAAGATATACAGTTCCATATAGTAGAAAGCTCATGAACCTGCCGGACACATAGGAAAAAACAAAAAATCAACAAATATTGCCAACGGGGGCAACAGGCACAACTCTCGATCGGGGAATCGAACCCCGGCCACCTGCGGCTTGTTTTCATAACCACTAAGCTTCACTATCGTGAATATTAAGTCGTTGAATATCAATGACAAGCAGGTATCCTTACCACTAGACCAATCGAGATAGGACTGATGGGGTTTCTCGCGGCGTATTTCGAGCCAAGTCTGCCGGGCTCAGCGTCCAGGAGTAGCTCGATACTAGGAGATTACCACGTGCGGATAATCGTGGTAGAAGCAGGTGTCTGCGTGGAACGCCTCTAGTAACTCGGTAGTCCGTAAATAGAGCGATTATTCACTTGTATATTTTGATTTCTTCAATTTTGTGGGCTCTCCACTGCCACGAAAATTGAAGCTAGTAGTGGATTCATCGAACAAATTGTAAAACGTGGCATAGACATGACTCTTTGCAAACGAGTACAAGCACATTAGGTAAGGTATCTGTGAATAAGGCACAGTCTTGCGATATGTGTAATTATTATCCCAAGGCTCCTACTTTTTAACGTAGGTTCTGTGTTTGCCAGTCTGATAATTATAGGTTTATTATGATACGCTTGATTACTATTCTGAGAGTTAACGATAATCTCCCAGGCAGGACAAGAACAAACTAGCCTCATCAAAAATACATTATGATTCTACACGATAGCGTGTACAGTCGGGCGGCCCCTGACCCTGAATGAGCAGAGCCTACCATCGGCACGGGCCCATAGCGTTGCTCTTGTAACTGTCGGCGAGCTAGAAATTAGGGAAATTCAACGTGAAACTGGACCATCGAGCTAATAACTATATTATACACACATTTTGTTATGTTGATAGAACTCTGAACACGACCAGAATGGTGATACAAATGGGACCATAGTACTGATCTCTAGAGGCGGTAACTTATTGTCGCCATGCCGTCATCACTAACTAGTCAAGGTCCTATGATTCAGTTCTGTCGAAACGGACAGGGGCATAATCGAAGTCTCTGAACCTGCATCGCTAATATTGAGATAAGACATATTTCTAAGGCGCCCTCAAGGCCGCACTTCAAGCCATCACATGTGACGTTCTAGAACCATTGGCCTGGACGATGTTTAGGGATCGTGAGGCCTGTCGTATCGCTTGCTCGGTGGCTGGTGCATCCGGCCCCAGATTTGTAAGTATCTTCATGTCACGGGGTGATCGGGGGAAACCTCTGCAGCAAGCCGGTGAGCTCGATGCGACCGAATAAGGTGCATGGAGGCATGCAGTTTGATGGTTACGTCGAACGAGCATGGATGCCCGGCTCCTTTCTCTGGCCTTGTGCTCTGGCCAGAATCCATCTAACTATGACCTGTGAGGACTCCGCTCGAAGCGCAGGTAAATTATCTCGGTCACGGTCTGAAGATCCATGGAGAAATAATCCTTACCCCTTCATACACGAGAATGTAGGAGGTACGTCACAAGCATCCTCTTATTATATCAAGCTTACGACGGGTAGAAATTACAGTTACATGCTACATGCTACATACTACATACAGGTAGATTGCAAGAATTTGTCACTTGAAAGTTTCGAGTTAAGACTGTTATTACTGGCGCAGGGGCAATCAACATCAATGCTTACCACAATTGTTACTAATGATTTGGATGTGTCTACCAGTATTGGGTAAGTTTGCTATGCTAATGTACGTTCAGTTTACTCCCAGAGCTAACCTTAGATATTACCGACGAGTATAACTTAAACGTCTCATATTTTCATTCAGCCCTAAGACACGCAAACTTGATACTGGCAGCAGTCCAATAAATACTCAGCCAGCCATGGATGACATGTCAAAAAATAATAAAAAACCGGCAGCTTCTGATGTCTCCACAGTTCCCATATTCCTTTTCAGAATCAGTTGTCAGAAAAAGGAATTTGTTTAGTGAACATACAACCCATTCGTCCCTACTATTGATATGTAAAATCGACTGGTTAGTTCTTTAGATTGGGCCGAACGCAAGGGAGTCGGGGTTTATTTTTTTCAACAGGGTTTTTAACTACCAGCCAAACATTTCTCAGCTATTGAGTCGAACGCATGGCTCGCCCTCGTTGAAAGGACCCTCGCGACTCCGCGGTCCTGCATGAATTTCGTGAATATTTGTCAATGCGTTACAAGTCTTCCATTCCCTACATAGGTAGGATATTTGCAGTCAATTGAAAACGCGAATGTCGAGAGGCTGCTTTAGTGCTTTTAAATACTACTTTAAATACTACTTATGTATATTATATTCATGTTAGCAATCCCGGTGGCTTGGATGACCAAGGAAAATCGCCCACCGTTCCGCGCTTTCAGCAGCAAGCCACTCAGTAACACACATCTTCCAGGCAGGCGGTAAAGACCTGGGTCAGTCACAGGAGCCTGTAGTCTCAATAGGACCGAGAAATAATGGCTGGGTTTTATGCAAGCCACGTTACCTTCAGAGACACTCAATGGATGGTTGGCTTATCTTTCGGCCATTCGCAGAAGAGACACGGTACCGTTTCTCTCGTTCGCAAATGTTGCCCAGTACAGCTGGTGCGATGATAAGATTGGCAGTGGTCTCTGTTCAGTAATTTATTAAGCATACACTAAGACAGCTAATGGTAATGATAGTAGCATGTTACAAAGAACAGTGCTTTTGTGAAACCCGCCTCACCATTACTAGCGACTCCATCCATTCCACGAGTGTAACGGGATCTAGCAGGCTAGTAATAAGCGACAGCTCACCATCTGAACCAGAAGGCAGCGCCAACCGCTGCCAGATCGCTGTGGTTCCTACCTTAGACCGATCTCGTACAAAGTAGTACATCCAAGAGACCAACAGACACCGCTAGTGTACTGTACACCTTCTGGTGCTACTAACTTTTGGCGTCACGGCAGCCCATCCGAATCTACTTACACTAGACAACGAAATACATCAAAACGTCCCAATGCTTTTGTTTCGCTCATCCTGCCTTACTCCCTGCCTTCCATGCTTTGAGTGGTGATATAACACGGTCCACACGTCTGACGCATTGATGATCAAAAGAAGAACAGCCCGCATATTGAACAAGAGAGCATTTTGGGCGAGTTGGAGGATACTACCTCATGGAATCAAAGGCCCGTATACGGTAAGGATGTCATAGTGATGCTGGCACGGGTTCGGACGTGCCGAGTCCCCAGAGGGTAAGTAGAGAGAAAAGAGGGAGCAAACGAGTACGGCCGAGCGGTCACGATCCCGATTAACGCTGCCCTGCTTGTCGGGTTGAGACGGGGACATTGTTGGCTGGATCGTGGATCGCGTCTCGCGACTAGAGCGCGGAGATCGAGCACACCTACAGCAAGTAGTACCTTGCTATCTGCGCTACTGCCGAACGCTCGACCCGAGCGAGCAACGTCTCATTTCCCCTAGTCGAATCTAGTGCGTGCGCGAACAACGACTTGGTTTCTCGAACAAGAAGATGCAGTACACTACAGCCCTTCAGGGAAAAATCTCTACCAACTCCCCACTTCACTGCATATGTGAGGGCATCGGGGAAATTACCCAATATCGTATGTCCCTCAAGACTTGACTTCTACCACACAAAAAGGAAAACTCCTCCAAGAGGCATGGTGGGCGCATTGATTTGGCACCGCCATCGTTGACGTCAATGACAAGCGCTGCGGTACCTGGCTGAAGCGCCTTTCTTTTTCCGAGTTTCATGTCCGCCCAGGTGCTTTTGTGATGAGAACATCGGTGTTAGGACTGGGTTCGAGGTAGACCACGTACATAGTGCGTAGTCAAGTCCTCATATACTTACGTACACGTGTAGTAGTATCATGGCTAGGCGCCTGGCTGTGGTGTGGAAGAGTGAAGAAAAGGGATAGGTAGTGTTGTTGTTGTATGCATGATCGCCACTGCAGCTTGGCAAACAGGGGTCTTTTGTAGATCCAGAGAAGTGGGTACTGCTCCCAAGGATCTTGGAGATATGGGTAGGATTACATTTGCACAAGCATCATCGTATGCAATTTCGTGTCGACTTTCTGAAGCAGACGATTGCGCAATTGCGTAAGCCGACTCATCTCTCACACAGATGCGGTCTACTAGTGCTAAATGCCCTGATCCGCACGAAACCAGCAGTCTTTCATCACCCAAAATGTTACCCTCCTTGACTGCAAAAACCGCAGGACAATGTGATGAGATGAGAGTACCCCGACGATAGGCATGAATCAGCATGAATAGGATGTAGTTACTTGCCACTTCGAGTTTCATGCCATATCCTATGAGCGCACGAATTGGCGGATGGTAGCCAGCTGAGGGTACCTGGGCATTATGCGTAATCTGATTGATTTGTCCTGCGGCGATTCCCGCCCTAGTCTAGGTTCTGTATGGCGATTCGATCTCCCCTAGTCACTCTGTAGCAAATAGCTTTGATGGACTTGCTGTGGAGCGATTCGCGTTTCCCTTGCATCTTGGGCTGATAAGACTAAACATGGGACTAACTATCTCTCGTGCTCTTAGGAAAAGGCACACAAGTGACATTGACAGGCTCACGCGTGTTGAGGTGCCGACGCTGGGGGCTGGGGTAGTCGGTCGACATGACTCGATGTCATCATTCTAGCATTGTTTAGGTTAATGAGATTATACGTAGTGTAAGTAGAATCTGTACTGAGAATACTGTAGGCTGGATAGTCCAGGTTAGTGGGTCTAGGTTGCATACCATGCAAGGCAACCCATGAGCAGCTTTTCCTCCGGAGGTTTTCTCACCAGTGGAGGTGGTACGGCGGAATGATTAATGAGTGTAAAGAATATGTGAGGAAATATAGTAACCGGGCACCTCGGTGAAGGCCTTCCGCTAAAATAACGAATTCGCATTAGCATGCATCATGTTCAACAAGTTTCTCTCCATTCTTCAAAAAACCGTTGGTAGCATTTGCCACGTGAGACTAAAGAAGAATCCTCTGGTTGATGAAAACGACGGTATCTATTTATTCCTGGAAATGGAGATCCCAAAGCCGTGCAATTCGTTATTGTCGAGCAAATCATAACCAGGTACATGTAGGGAAAGCGTGGACTCTGGGATATACGGAGGTACCGGACTTGGTATAACACTTGTATGTGTATGTATTCACCTTGTATTTTTATCGGTATTGCTCGGTCTCCCATGAACAAATGTCGTCGTTCGAG